ATGAGGCATGATGATCGGTTCATCAACCAGGATAGACGTGAGGTGAGGAATCACCTTTTTACACAGGCCACCCATCGTGCTTTTGAGTGGGGTGGACCAGCGGTGATCCTGGGTGACTTCAATGGAGATTACCACGAAATGAAGAGCTGGGGTGAACTTGCACTCATAGGCTGGACAGAAGTTGGTGACATCCATCTTGCAAAGACTGGAGAGGTGCTGCCGGCCACCTATCAAAATGAGGTGAGACATGATTATATGCTCTTATGCCCATTCATGGCGTCCAGACATGATCAATCGTGGGTTCTTCGGGACCATTCATTTCCTCAACATTTTCCCTTGCTGACCACCTTTTTCTTGGAATCGCATCATGCTTTGAAGAGCGACTGGAAGCTGTCGAGGCCTTTAACTCCAGAGCAGCGTGAGTACCTCAGGCAACAGAACGTTGACGACGCTTTTAGTGCAGAGGTTACAAGATGCCATGGATCTATGGAGGCCTTTCTGGCGTGCTCGCTTTTCAAGCAGGATAGTTTTCGTGCTATTTCCAATATGGTGGAACTCTCCTGGAGACAGATCTTGGGGGATGCTGGCCATGACCTTAGGTTGAGGCCTTCTCAGATGGGTCGCTCTAAGCACCCGTCACTTAAGAAGCAGCATCACCAGATGAGCTCCTCGCTTGGGAGAGTCGGTGACTACTCGGCAACCTGCGAAGCTACTTCTGTCCATTCCAAACAGGTGGTTAGACAGTGTAGAAGATTGCAAGGTGTCATTAGAATGCTTACTAAGTTTCAAGATGACCACATGCCTGATGTGCAATACCAAACCATGCAGATTGACCAGGAACGTATCATTTCTGCCAAAGGCTTCGGTGTTTCATATTTGGAATGGGCAGAGAGAAAGGGGCTTCCGGCATTGAACCTGCCGGTATTTGATTTGCACTCAGTACAGCTTCATTTCAATGCAGTACAGACATTTGCAGATGAGAGTGCCAAACGGCAAAACTCTGACAAAAACAAGGCATGGAAAGATTTGCTGGCAAAATCCTTTTTGCACCAAGGTGGAAGGTTGGCTTTCAGACATGTCAAGAACTCTTTCGTTCCTGAGATTTCGCATGTACATGTCAAAAAGGCTTTGGATTTGGTTCCTATCAGGCAGAAGATGAAGGGTCCCCTTCGATATCGCTTGAAAACCCCTATCCCTCAGGGCAGTACGGTGCACTCGGATGTCGGACCAGTTCGGCTCAATGAGGCTGGAGATTTCTTTACCATAACAACAAAGGAGGACAACACACCATCGAAGTTTTGGACTGAGGGTTGGGCTTTTGACCCGGTTGACGTTCACAAGGAGTTCTTCTCGTTCTGGGATAAATTTTGGAATGAGCCTCAAACTCCTCATGCTGATGAGCCATATGGCCTGAACCTGGTCACCGCCTTCCCCGATGCCCTGGACTCAGAGATTCAGGTGGCAGATTTGCATTCGGTGATTAAATGCACAAAGGCCAACACAAGTGTTGGCAGTGATGCATGGTCGCTTAATGACTTCAAGATGATACCAGAGGTGGCACTTGGCACCATGGTCAAAGCATGGAACCTCATTTTCAGCGACCAGATCTATATACCTGCAACTTTTAGCATGGCACGGGTTTTGCTCCTAGCCAAGCATCTGGATGCAGAAAGTATATCAGACACAAGGCCCATCACTATATGCCCTTTGACGTACAGGTTATGTGTTCGGGCGATGACGAAAAAAATCACCAGACAGCTTTTGTGCTACTACCCGGTGGGGGTCTTGGGCGGACTGCCGAAAAGGGCAAGCTGGGAGTGCTATTACAAGGCTCAGTTCGTCATTGAGAACGCTCAGATGACAAGCTCTCAACTATGCGGCCTTACCACTGACGTGGTGAAAATGTTCAACGCAGTGCGGAGGCCCGCGGCCGCTGCACTACTTGAACGGGCCGGAGTGCCAGCAGCAAACATCAAGGTCTGGATCACACATCTTGACTCTTTGAGGCGGTACTTGAGAGTGCAGAAGTCTCTTAGTGCAGGACATACATCAGTGGTCGGGGTGCCGGAAGGTGATGCGCTCTCTGTCCTTGTGGCAACACTCTTTGGCGTGGTGTGGTGTGAAGCCATCAGAGCTAAGGAGGGTGGCACTGCAGTCCCCACCGCTTATGTGGACAACCTTGATGTTGTTGCAAAGACTGGGCAGGACCTTGAACATGCAGTGGACGTCATGTCTCACATCACTGCGACGTGGGGGTTGGCCTTCGACCTCAAGAAATCCTGGTGTTGGGATGTCGGATTTGACAAATCTGCAAGACCTTCCTTGAAGATTGAGCGAAAGCCATGTGGTAAAAACCTGGGCGCAGCCGTGACTTATAATAAGCATCCGCTCAACAATATTCAAGTAAGGCGAATCCAGGGTGTTTACAACCGGATTACTCGCTTGGGGCCGCTGCAAATCACTGACGAGCAGAAATGCCGCTTGATCAAGACTGGTATCTGGCCTGCTGCTCTCTATGGTGCGGAGATCACGTACTTGGGTAAGCAGTGGTATGTGACGTTACGGGATTTGACTGTCACTGCGCTCAACAAGTACCATAAATGGGCAAACAGATCGATGGCACTCTTCTTGTATGACTCAGAGTTGGATCCTTTCATCCACCTCACTCTCAATCAGATCAAGCAGGCAAGAAGGGCTTTGTATGAGCAGGACCAGGCGATCACACATGCAAACCAGGTGCTCTGTGGACAGTACAATTTCCATTTGCCGTATGGACCGATGTCAGCGCTTCAGTGGCACCTCCTTTCCTTGGGTTTCCAGATTTTGGAGGACGGCATGATCCAATTGCATGGCAGGCCAGATTTGCATCTATGGACTGCACCGTGGGAAGACATACGGGATACGATCCTTTTTGCATGGGGGCGATGTGTCATGGAGAGCATGAACAGGAGGGAGGAAATAAATTTCCCGGAAGATGTGGACTGGACCATTGTCCGTCACGCCCTTCGCTCATTGAACGACAAACCTAGACAGCACTCGATGTATATCTTCTTGACCGGAGCCACAGCCACCGAGAGAAAATATTCCAGGGTGAACAATGGAGATGACAGATGTTTCTGTGGAAATATAGACACTGTGATGCACCGTGTCCTGGAGTGCCCAGGCACAGCTGCTTGGAGAGATGAACATCCCTTTCTGAGATCTCTGGAGGATAGCAAGGCTACTTTGCCGCTCTGTCCGTGGATTGAGGATGGGAAGTTCTTTCAGCAGGCCTGTTCAGCGAGACCCAATCCTGCCGTCACTCAGCTTGGGGATGAGACTCAGTACTGGGTATACACGGATGGTTCTGTGCATAACCCGACCTGCCATCTCACTGCTGATGCTGCGTGGGCTATTGTCTACACAGAAGCCTTTGCAGATGAAGCATTGACCAGCCTGACATCCGAGGCAAGGAGACGTCAGGTGCCGGTGGATTGCTTCCGTACGTTAGGGACAGGGAAGTTGATAGGAAGGCAGACTATTAACCGTGCTGAGATGGAAGCGGCTATACAGGCAGTGGCATCGATCAGAAATGCTACTATTTTCACAGACTCGCAATATGTAATACAGATATGGAAGAGGGTGCAGGATGACTTCAGACCATGTGAATGGGTCAATGCAGCCAATGGAGATCTTACAATTCGTCTGTGGAAGGCCATGTGTTCCTTTCCAGGAGTGAGATCCATCCAATTCCAGAAGATCGGCAGTCATGCTGAACGCAAAGAGAACATTTGGGAGTGGTCGGATACCCCTTTTTTCCACTATTGGGGAAATCGTTCGGTGGATCATGCTGCCAGTGAAGCGATCAAATGCGACCATCCTGAGGTTTTGCGCAGAAGAGACAATGCGGGGAGATTGGTTCGTGTGAAGAAACTCTTCTATGTGGCGGTGTATGGGGCATATGCTAAGCTGCAAAAGTGCTATGAGGACAGTAGAGAAAGACGCCCTGTGCAAAACAGACAGCGACCACTGCAAATTCAAGATGTCGGAGATGTACCTCCTACACATTTCAAGGTTGTGCCTTTGCATGCAGCAGATACGCTGCGTTGGTGTAGCCATTGGACTCACACTTTTATGCAAGCACTGTACACTTGGATTGGGTCTCTGGCATGGCCACCCAGCTCAGTTAACACTGGCTATGTGGCCTGGGCAGAACTCTTGGCGTCTTTTAAACATTTCAGTGGCTTGAATGTCCCAGTCAAACACCCCACGGTGCCGCATTGCTTTACACTGACGCAGATCCACCCGTTGGTGCAGGATCTCACAGCTTTAAACGCTGAAATCACTAGATTCCAAAGTGCCATCAAAGCACTTCAACAGGTCCTAAAGCAGACGGTCGTCCCCAAGGACTCCTCGGTACAGTGTGCCTCCCGCTTGGGATACTACTTTGAAGGTCAGCTTGGTACTTTACATGGGAGACCCTGGATGCCGTGCTTCAGCCAATCCAGGGAGAGTCTCAGCAAATACTTTGAAAAGCTAGAGGGAACAACGCTGCACCAACCTTTGCAGATTCGGACAGACCGGGTGGTGATGACTTCACCATACGATGCCATTCTCAACACAAAGACGCATAAGGGCAAACCGCCCGTGCTTTTTCCCCCCTTTGCGGGCGCTTGAATGGAGTGATGACCAATTCCTGGGTTCACTACGTTGTAGTTTGGGGTTCACTTGGATCTTTCGATCCTTTGAGTTGTAGGCTGATGCCTCCTCTTTTATGGCAGCCTTGAATACCTTGGCTGACCTTGGTGGGGATGACAGATGAAAGGGGGAACTCGCTGCTGGGGGGTTGAGTTGCCCCAGGTTGTTCGGCTGCCCTTGCTGGGGCCCGCCTTTTGGGGTGTTGGGTGTTTGGTTTCTGGTTTTTGGTTTCCCCCTCTTTCCTTTTTGGTTGGGCCCTGGGGGCTTCTCATCCCTTCGGTGGTGGGTTGCCCGGCGACGTATCGGAGCGTCCAATGATGCCGATGGGGCCGCTTGCAGCTTCCTGGCTTGCATTGACTGACTTAGGTATTAAAATTGATTTTGATAGCATTGATGCCTGCGCGGATGTGATTCCAATTAATTGCTCAAGTCACTGCATGTCACTGCTTTATTTACTTTCAGGATCGCAGGGCGATCCGGCCCATCCCGCCCAAGAAGGCCGTCCAGTGGAGGGCATACGACGGCCTGCTGGCTGGCATCTTCAAGAAGTGCGTCGACACGTGGAGCTGGATCAAGGGCGGCCAGGACTCCGTGAAGTTCCTGGCGGAGCTCATCCAGGAACTCCGCGACTACGAGGACACGATGGGCAACCGCCAGGGCCCGAATGCTGGAGGCCTACGCTTTCTGCCTAAATTTAATAGCTTGCCAAGTGCGAGTTGGTTGCCTTCGGCATGTAGGCACCAGACTGACTAACTAAGGTGAGGAAGATTCGTGCCTTGGCTTGGCTTTCATCTTTCTAGTTTTCAAGCTTCTAATTAAGTAAGCTATTAAATTGCTTGGCGTGAACTGAGGAAAGTCGGGCGATACGCCATCAGCAGATGCGAGAGCGATGGCAAACCGGGCGAGAGCCGCGAGGCGCATCATGATGGCAATGGACATTGACGTTTCCATGTGTTTGCTGTCATTGGCACGTTGACTTAAAGTATTAGTCTTAGTAGTCTGTAATCTGATGGCTGCTTAAACTTAGGTAAGCGGAAGAAGCAGCGCACTGGCCCGGAGTCAGCGGCGGTGGTGGGCGGCGACGACGAGATGAGTGACAATGAGGTCGTGGTTGTGGAGGATGACGAGAGCGCTGGCTCTAAGAAGGCCGACTGGTTGAGCTATCTGGCCCAGTGTACTGCACCCAGCCTGCTCAGCCGCCCCGATCAGCAGGAAGTGCACGGCAAAGGCGGCCGACGACAATGGATGCGAACAGCTTGGCCGATTTTTGGCTGCATGATTGCTTTGTTAAGGGTTTTCATTTTTTGACTGACTGTCGGGGCACCCAGGGTCGTTTATTTTTAATTCCTTTTCCCCCCCCTCCCCCGAAAGCCCCGCAACTCTCATACGTCGGGGCACCGCAACCGCTAAACGTCGGCACCGCAACCGCTATACGTCGGGCTCTCGCCCAGTGAACCTAGGTTCGTTTACGGGTGTGTTTGGTGGCGAGGGGTACCCCCCCCGTCGGGGGGGGGGCTCTCGCCAACCGAACCTAGGTTCGTCTGGCGAGGGCTACCCCCTCCGTTACGTACAGTGACGCAGGGGGGTAGCTCTCGCCACACGCTTGTAACGGGGGGGGGTGGCCCTCGCCAGACGAACCTAGGTTCGGTTGGCGAGAGCCCCCCCCCGACGGGGGGGGTACCCCTCGCCAGGGAACGCTCCCAGTGGCAAGATGTGTTTTACTTTTTGGCAGCCAAGGCGGTGACGACCTGCAGTGGACCTGGCCTGACCAGCCTGAGGACGAGCCTGCCTCTGAAATGTTCAGAAGGCAGCACCTGAGGTCTTCTTCTGACCGCCGCCGGGCCGCTGAGCGACTGACCTGCCAGTGAACAAATTATGCTTGGGCGGCTGTGAGCTGAAGTTGGCTAGTCACTAGTCTGTCAGTCGTCAATGTTTGAAGCTAGGCGCCAATCTAAGAAATCTGCCTATAGGTTGATTGACATTGTCAGCCGGAGCATTTCAGCAAATGGAAGCTGAACAAGGCTGAGCAGAAGTCAGTCGAGGAAGAGGAGAAAAGGGTCTACGCGGAGCGCAAGACTGCTGGCGATTCAGACGAGGACGCTCAGAAGGCAGCTTCAGAAGCCGCGGCGACCAAGTCGAAGGAGCTGTCAACGCCAAACCATGATGTTTTTTGAAGCCCTGTCGTTTTCACGTGCAAATCCATCAGAAAATGCAGTCTTGCCTTTCGTCAGGCTCTGAAGGAAGCAAAGATGGTGAAGAGCCAGGTCAAGAAGAACCAGCCACAGTCGGCGGCGGCGGCTATCGATGCTCCGGAAACGGCGCCTCAGAACAACACCCAGTACTACGAAGCGCTCATCGACGCCGTCAACGTGATCCTTCAGTGCCCCACCTTCGTTGACCTTCAGCCGCTGCCGATCAACACCAAGCCGGGAGAAGACCAGTCAGGAGTTCAGGCGGGAAGGTTTTAGTGCATTGGCGGATTAAACCTAGCCTGCATCTTCATTCCACTAGTACTACTCCGTATCTGTGCTCCGGCCTTTCTACTTACCAATTTTACCGCGAAACAAACAGCATACATGACGACAATTAAATTGAAGGACTAGTTTTCGGATGTTTAACTGGTAACTCAGCAGTTTCAAAAAGATCGCCATCCTTCAAATTGTCGTCTTGGGTGGAGACTTGTTATGTTTGACTCCTGTCCTTGCAATCCACTACGCGGAACATCCTTTGCATGCTGCAATGGTCAGTTTGACAGAGTTTGACCGTGTTGCTCCCATTGTGCTGATTACACCAGATTGACACCACTTCTGGGCAACCAACAACGAGTGCAAAAAACAACACAAACGCCCGCAAATACAAACAAGTTGCCTCAACTCATAATGCAAAACCAGTGCATTTCCTCGGATGCGCAAGGTGTTGCGGGCAGATGTGCCAAAACACTGAAATGTTTTTTTTTTTTTTTTTATTTATATTTTTTTTTTTTTTTTTTTTTTTTATTTTTTTTTTATTATTTTTTTTTTATTTTTCATTTTTTTTTTTTTTTTTTTTTTTTTTTTTTTTTTTTAATTTTTGTTTTTTTTTTTTTTTTTTTATTTACCTGCAAAGTACCCCCAGTCTACCAACGAGAAATTTCTGGTAGAGCGAATAGTTGTTTTTCAGCTTGAATTACACTGGTCAATCTGCCAGGCAGTTTTCGACCCACGGGAGTGCAAGGCAGCATTGACGAAGGAAGGATGCTACAGGGCCGCGATCAACTTGATGTGGATTGACCCATTTGGGTCCACAACGCCCACAGTACCGCTCAGTGTGGAGAGGGTCCGGGAACTCGGGCAATTTGCTTGTCCCGCCGGGGATGCAAAGCACTTGACCGAGAACTTCACAGTCGCGGTCGACAGCCTGGACCAGGACATGCTGGATAGCAAGGGGAAGTGGAAGGCTGTGAGCCCGGAGGAAATGCAGCACGCCCTGCTGTTCACCTTAGCGGATGTCATCAAAAACCAGGCAGGTGTTCGGAAATTAGCTAGCGACGAGAGTTTCGCGGTTTTCAGACATGTTTACTGACTGACAGGGATTTAATAGCTACTTAGAGGGTAATTTTGTTTGTAGTCTTCGGACGCATTCAGTGACTGATGTTGAAGCTGCTAAGGCGCCTGATGAGAAGCTTGCTGCCTGGCGCCGGGTCTTTTTGTCGGCGCCGGCAGTGTTCACAGTGGTGGGCGGGGGAGACAGCTTGTACTGGCACAGCTTCCACCGGAGGCAGCAAGTGGTGCAGACTTACGACTCCCTCAAGAGAAGCGCTCGACAACTCGCTTTTGAGGTGACTGCCTTCAAAAACAAGAAGGAGTCCGAGGCTGGCGAGAGACTTGGAGTTAAGGAGGTGCAAGACATCTTCCGGTCCAAGGCCCTCATGGCGAAATCCTCCGTGAAAGGCGACATGGCGGATGGATTCGTGAAGGACTGCCTGTTCGTCTATGAGAAGTTGCTCGTGGACACAACCTGCAACGAGGTGCTGGACAAGTTGGAGAGCAAGTATGGCTTGGAGTCGCCATTGAACTCCCTTCAGAAACTTCGGGCGCTGATTGAAAAAGCGAGAACATGGAGACCAGGCCGGGGAACAGCGCTGCCATCGGACTTTCTGAATCTGCGCAATTGCTTTTATTTTTGCTTTGCGACCATCTATTGAGGCAATGGATTCTGAAAGTGATTTGCGACATGGTGGAGGGAGGAGCGCTTGAGCGCGAGACCATCACCAAGACCTACCTCGCTGGGACGCCCACAGCCGCATCGCTGGTCGAGCTGTTGAAGCTGAAGCGAACTGTGGCGCATCACTTTTTGCAGGCAAGAGAAAAGTGGCCTGAGAGCGAGTTGTCCATCAACAAACACTTGTTGAACACGGCCCTCTTCAGTCTTGGCAAGTAAACTAACTTATCAACATGGATCTGTGGTTCAAGTTTATTGTGTTCAATGGCTGCTAGGCTTCTGAAAAAATGCGTGGTGTTAGGCATTGCATTGATGGACTCAGGTGGAGATGCCACGCAGCCAGTTCGACACTCAGGACCTTGCCAAGATCCACTCGAAGATCATGACGATTTGCAGCTACCGGAAATACGTGACCGCTGCTAACCTTGAAGGTCCATCTGAAGTTCAATGGAGGTCTTCGTTGAAGCGCTCCAGCATGCTTGTGCTGAGGTTGATCGAGGTGGGGGGGGCAATGCAATCTTAAAAGCATTATTGGCAATGGCCCCCTTGGCGCGAAGGACATCCTGTACACGACGACGCTCAACGGCCCCTTGATTGCTCTTCTGAAGAAAGGAAAGGGAGCCAACCCGCTTGAGCTGCTCGAGATCGAGACGTTCAGTCTACGATGGAAGGCTTGCGTGGCAGCAAAAGACAATGAACTAGCTGCAGAGAAAGCGCTCTACAAGGCGGCCGAGGAGGAGCAGGACGAGCAGGACGAGTGCACGAAGATCGCGCAGGGCAGCGTGGCTCCGCAGCCTTCAAAGTACCCCAAGGGCTCGGCTGAGTGCCTTGGAGAGAATTGAATTTGACGTTGCTTTGCTCGTGCGAGCGTGCACCATTGTTGCGGCAATGCATGAGCAGTCAACGAAGGCATTGGACAGCGACGGCAGCGCAACAGGTTGCGATCTATGTGTCGTTGCGGGCCGAGCCTCCAACCCAGTCTGCCGTTGCCCGGGCCGTAGGGGATAGCGGCCTGAATGGCGACCTCCGCGGCGTGCAGGGCAAGAGCGGTGTCATGATCCACTTTGACGCCAACCTGTTTGCAGAGGCCGCCAAAAGGCCTGACCGAAGGTTTCCGCCACTGAGCCCAGCCCTCATGAAAAAGTTGATCCACGGCAGCATCAAGGGCCGCGGCGGCCTGGCGAACAAGAAGGTGGCAGAGGATCACTTCGACCGTCCAATTGACGGAGACTTCATTTTCTTGAACGATGCTGGGCGGAACGTGCTGGAGAGCCTCTTGGCGCCGTTCAAGTCGAAGGATGGCAAGGGGGCCTTGGCGCACTACCTGGAGCACACGGAGATCACGCTGTGCCTCAGCCAGGACGACGATGTCCGTTTCAAAATTCGATTGTGTACTTATAAATTCGTCAAATTTGAAAGCTTTGTCTTCGCTTTCATCGGTTTTACTTGTCTTTCAATCCTGTCGAGGAGTCAATGGAAGGAAAGAAGAAACTGAACCGCGGCATGATCAACCAGATTCAGCGCTGGCACGTGATCAGCACCGAGCCCATGTCCACTTGGCTGCCAGAACGCAAACACACCAAATTCCCCGTCTCCAACCGAGGGAATTGCATCGGCTGGATTGGTTTGGGCAGCGCTTCGGATGAGTGGACTTTAACTGTGAACAATAAGCAGCCCGACTCAAATTTAATCGTGCCATAGTAATAGTAGCATGTTTGGGGGCCTCAATCATATGCGTCGCCCGATTTGTCAGGAAAGAGATGTACGGAGACAAGATGATGGGCGCAGATTCTGCCGAGGACCCAAAGGAGAATGAAGAACAGCAGCGAGACGGTGACTCTTATGAGCCTGCCTTCTTCAACCACTTGCCGGTGACGCTGTACTCAGACGCGTGCTGGATTGCACGCCAGGCGCAGGAGATCTGGCCAAGGCGGCCTTGCTGCGGAGGATTCCTTACATGGCCCTGACCATGACAGAGACTCACGCTTCGCTTCTCCAGAGTGAGCTGGTCAAGTTTGTCAAGCAACAGATGCAGACAGAAGGGTCTACGTTCTACGCGCCTGAGTGGGCGGCAGCTGGCAAGAAGGATGCGGAAGCCGAAAAGGGCAAGAAGACGCAGCGGCCGACGCCCGCCCCCGGAGATCCGGCGCCTGAGCCGGAGCCTAAGAAGCCAAAGACGACGAATAAGAAGACGGGGAAGGCGGAGAAGAAGCAGAAGAAGGAAAAACCGACTGGCAACGCGCCGCCGGCCTGCCAGCTGATTGACGATTCTGGATCAGACTCGGCCAGTCAGTGAGCATACTAGGCTAGGCCGCAGCAATCCTGGCTGCTTTTTGTTCAAGACGCTTAGGCCCAGACTTCCGCGGCGGATCAACTATCAAATATGTTTTCTTCGGCGGCGCAACGTCGTGGGTGAAACACCGTCCTTGCGCCGGGCCTTACTAGGGTCTTGTGTCCCTGCGAGGCCCGGCTAGGGGACGGCGTCGGTGTTTTGAACAACTATTGAAACTTACTGCTGGCTTTGCTCAAGTTAATATTAAGCAGAGGCATCAATGTAAATTGGAAGCTGCTGAGCTGAAGACTGGGCGAAAGGACACCTTATTAGGGCTTTGAGTGACTGGATTGACCTTCAATCTGAATCACAATGACGAGCGACACAAACTTCAGAGCGGTGTAAAATAATGTGACTGCAGCGCCTAGGCTTAGGTTTCCGCAACTGAGTGGTGACGAGGACATTTAAATTGTCATTGCTCATGTTTTGTCTTTCTTGCCGGGCGGCTTGTTCTGAAAATTGTTGCAGATCAGTACATGCTCAAGAGAAGCGGCATGTCAATCAATAGTAGGCAAGATGGACCTCGATTTTGCCATGGCTTCAGAGCCATCGAAAGAGAAGGACGGCAGAAAGAGACACAAAGACCAGAAGGCATGCGGGCACAAAGGCGACGCCAAGAAGGTCTTGAAGACGGCTAAGACCAAGACGAAAACCAAGGAAGCAACGCCTACGCAAGCAGCTGCCAAGACTTCGAAGAAGTGGCCAGCCGGCGACCTTACGAACAGTGACCAAAGGATCCTTGCTTTCAATCAGAGTCTGTCAGCAGTGATGCCTGTCAAGGCTTGACTGAACGAGCTGTGTTTTTGCGAGCTAAGGAAGTTTGCTGAAGCCCTGATTGAGCAGCTTGAGAAGAAAGCCGCAAACAGTCGCCTTGGCCGCGAAACTGGACCTGGAGAAAGGGCTGCGGCTCCGTCTGTGGTCCGACTTGGGTCTGACTGCTCGGGTTTGTCCTCCGACTTTGTCAGCTTGAAGCTGGCCTTCGGCCAGTCAATTCGGGTGAGCACTGCTTTCATTTCGGCCGCCTGCTTGCATTGCGGCACTCCGTTTTGTCAAAATTGTTGCTGGGCTGGAACCTTGAGCCAAGGACATCGACCCCACCAGGAGGAAAATGGCCTTGCAGATGCACGCGCATTTTGGAGATACGCCAGCCCCTCATTTAGATTTAGACGAAAGTTTTTGTGTTTTCTGCTTGCTTAAATCCAATAGCAAGTTCGAAATTCAGGAAAAGGTGTACGATGACATCACCTCGCGGGACAACTCCAGCGCTCCGGCCTGTGACCTTTACGTCAGCGGAGCTCCTTGCCCAGCATTTTCAAGCGCTGGTCGCCAGCAGTCGCTAGGAGATGTTCGGGGCTGCGTTTTGATACACAGCCTCGATTACGTCGTGGAAAAGAGGCCACGGCTCGCAGTGTTTGAAAATGTGCGGGGGCTTAGCGGCCCGAAATGCAAAGCGGTGCTGGATGCGGTGGTGAAGATTCTGCGCCTCTGCAATTACTCCGTACGGGCCCAGGTCCTCGACACGAAGGTCCATGGGGGAATCCCGCACAGCAGGCCAAGGCTGTACCTCGTGGCCGTCTCAAAGGCATGGGCAGTGAAAGAGGAGATGCGGCGTGTCTTTCCTGATCCTATCACTTGCCCTTCGCTCAGCCGCTTCATCATCAACAACGTGCAGCAGAAGCGGGATGTCACAGACTTGGCCCTGAAGAACATCAAAGCTGCCAAGGCATTTGCTGAAGCGAAGGGCTGGGATGTGAAGAGGCAGATCGTGTGCGACGGTGGGGCCACAGAAATGTTTCGGTGTGTCATGCTGGAGTGCAGCCCATGCTTGACAAAGTCCAGGGCATCGTCAAATGGACATTTCCTAGTGACGCTGAATCGATGGATGAACATCTGGGAAATGGCTGCGCTGCAGAGATGGCCAAAAGTGCTGGTGGATGAGGTCCTGCAGTCGTTTCCTGCCAGACAAATGGGCGCGACCATTGGCGACGGAATGTCGCTGAGCATTTTGCAGCGGATGCTCCCTCGGGCGATGCTGGCCTCCCAGCTCATCAGTAAGCTTCCACATGACATTTGGGCTGATTCCGCCAAGGTGAAAGGCCATTTGCCAGATGCAGTGTACGGTTTGGTTTCACCCGGACATGAACAAGGCGCTCTGTGGCGATGATGCCGCACGCCGCCCATTGATGTAATTTGAAATATTAAATTCAGTAGGCGGCTGCTCTGGCAAGGGATGACCCGCACCATGTCGCTTGGCCGAAAACGCGCGATGTCTAGCTTGGATTTGTCCAATGAGCTTGTGGACTTGCTTGCCCCTCCGGCGCCTATTAGCATTGTCGCTTTGAATCCGCCGTGTCATTTGCGAGACTTTGCGGGCTCTTAGCAAAGACCAGGGCGCTACCGACCATCGTCTAAGCCAATACGGCCCTGTGAAAATAGTTTTACGCAAATTATTATAGGTTCCTTTTCAAGCTCGAAGTGTTGAGAATCTAACCTTTGTAACAGCTTGCCCCCACTCAGAATCACGAAGCAATGTCGTTGTCTCCACTGGCGGGGAGACTCAGATACCCGTTGACGACCATTTGGAAAGGCGAAGTCTGCGCCGCAGCGGAGACCCAGTTTGAGCTTCCAGAGGAAACTTGGCGACATTAAATTGTTTGTCTCAGACTTAGGATGCCGTCAGTTTAAAATAAAGGTGTTGGTCTGCGATCCGCTCTCGTGCAACCAAGGACATTGACATGGAGGCGATCGAGCCGAACACTGAGTCCGCAGCCTTGGCCGAGTGGGCGCGCATCTTCCTTTGCTTCTGGCCAGCGGCAGCAATATTCAGCTACCACGAGGTGGAGACTTACAAGGTGGAAATGTTCATTGTCAATGCTGCTGTTGCGGGCGATGACAAGGTCCTCATTCTGAGGGTGAAGCACTTAAAAGGCGAGCACGAAGGCAAAAATCAAGCCATCGTTTTGGGAAGGCAGTGACATGGACCGTGCCACAGCAGCGCGCAGAAAATTGCAAAACCGGAGCGGCTGCCAGCTTGCGAGTCGTTCGACGGACTGCCGTGCAACTCAGGGCTTGGTGAAACACGCTGCTTCCAGGCATGTTTGTTGAACTGACGATGTGTGTTGCTCATGTCATTCATTTGCTTCCGATCTTCAACTATAAGACTATCAACGGAGTTAAGCTCGGTGGCCCTGAGTCGCCCGATGCAGGTCGGGTGATTCAGGACTTCCGATGACTTGCCGCCCAACCTCAGTGTTGACTTCAATCAATGAAGTCAAGTTGGAGCTGAAGATGGGTCACTTGCAGTCACTGGGGCTCAGTGGCACTGAGTCGCCCGGTTGCAGTCGGGCGACTCAGGGCCGCAGAGCCCCGCTGCCTTATTTTTGGACGAGTCAGTGTCAGTCAACGGGACTTGGCCTTTATTTCGCAAGTTGCTTGAGGCGTTCTGGAGCTGACAATTGCCGTTCAGCAGGCGCTAGTATGTGTTTAATTTAACGTCTTTGGTTGAACAACCTGGCATGGGCATCATTGGACCCTACTTGCTTTAAACTCATTTGTTGTTTCCATTTAAGTATGGCGAAGCACTTTTTCCCCATGGAAAACATTTTTGAGGAATCCCCCTGCGCCGGGTCACCCAGCAGTAGTGTGGCAGCAACGCAACGCCCCGGGGTGCTGGGGCGTGCAAGCGCGAGGCGATGAAGGCGACAGTAGGATGATCCCGGCAAGGCTGCGGGACAGGAAAGACATGAAAAGTTGTCAATTTGTTCTGCAAGTGTTTCATTTCACAAAGGGGCTTCCGATCAATGCCGTGTTGTCTTAACGGGGCTCATCGGCGGTGGCTTAAAGCTTTAGTCTATTTTCGCATAGATTCGTCGGCTGCGCTGCGGTCAACCAAGGCTAATTTCGGAAAGGCCCGTCGACATTCGCGTTCGAGTTGGCAATGACCGCAGCGTCGCTGCCCGCAGCAGTTGGGTCTCGAGCAGGGACCAGCTCAATGGACGGGCAGGCAGAGCCACGGTGGCCGTTGGTGCTCGAGATTGCCATCGGCATTGTCATCTATGAAGTCTTGAAATGGCTGTTGCGATGCCTGCTGCAGAAGGCTGGCGACATGATCAGCAGCCTACCAGCACCGCCGTTGACACCCCCAGCAGACGCTTTGTCAAAGAACCGGTTTCTTTTAGGTGGGTGGTGGCTAAGGCCGCCCAGCTCAGCTGAGAGTTGGGCGTGTTGCCTCTTTGCGTTTGGAAGGCCCTCAAGACTTCATCCTCAATGGCATCAGATTTTCCTGTGGTCAACATAACGCTGGCCGTACGCCAAGCATTGAGCCTGAAAATTGTCATTCAAGCGTCTTTCGAGTAACGTCCCAGCTGTTATGTGCATTTGCGCCTATGTTGCAATTTGGGTTGACATTGACTTGCTTGGCCACGAAATGCCACGAAGTAAGGTCACGAGTGGGCTTAGGCAGGTGTAAGGTTGGCCCAAGTCCGCCCGCTAACCTGAGACTCTGCCACCCAGGACAGCAGGTGCCAATGCTGCGGCGAGATCACTGGGCCTTCAACGCGGTCCGCGACAAGCGCGTTCATCCAAGAGAACAAGAACGACCAGAAGAGACGTGACAGTGAGCGTCGTGGCGGAAAG